GTTTATTGTCTTATCCTTCCTTTCAGCTTTAGAGTGAATTAGGAAAAGTTTAATCCACTTGCACTGTTTTATGTTTACATGTTTGATGACAAACAGCCTTATGTTTATAAGTGACAGTTTTTCCTGCTAGGTATTTGCATGTCATAAGCATTTGAATTAAAAATTACCATATTGAAATCAAATCTGATGTTTTTTCATTTTTATTTGGTGTGCGTTGGAAGAGGGGTAGTATTTATATGGCGAGTATAGCTCAAACCCTATATTTTAACAGGAAAGTAGGGGGGTCGTCTTATACGCCCAGTCGTCTTATACGCCGGAAAATACGGTATATTTTTTACATATATATCATACATTCCCATCAGCCCCTAACCCTCAAGGGGCATACAATCCCTAACTCACATTCATACATATACATCTGTCTCTCTATCCATTCAGTCGTATCCGACCCTTGGCAATTGCATGGACTGTCACTCCTAAGCGACTTTTTCCATGAATTCTCTTAGCAATTATTTTACAGTGTAGGTTGCCAGGTCTTTTCCGAACCAGGAGATTCCATGTGGCCAGGGATGAAACTAGGACAATTTAGAAAGGATCCAATTAACCTACCAGCATGTCTTTGGAGTACCCAGAGGAAACCTGCACAGGGAGAACATGCAAACTTCAGGCAGGTGGTGCCATGGTTGGGATTCGAACCATTGACTCTAGTACTGGCAGGTGGAAGTGCTAACCACTGCTGACGACATTACACTATACCATTTTATTGAAAAGTTTTAAACTTTTACAAAGCTACTAAAGTAAATTTTAGTGTACACAGGCACAATATAATTAGCCAATATTTAGTAAAATAATAATAAAAAAAAAGAATGAGGCTGTGATGAGTAAATGAATACATAACATGTCAAGCTTTAAAAATGTACAGGCCTGTGAAATGGCAGCAAAGTTTGGTGTCTAAACTGTCCATGGGAGTTATTTTAAAAGTTTTTCAGGTCATCAATTTTGAGTTAACTGTGAATAATAGCCTTAGTATTATTGCTTTTACAGTCGCTGCAATATAACATGTTTTTTTGGTGTTTTCTACTGTTACTTATTTTATTTTTTATGTATTTTTTTACAATGACCTTTACTGCTATCACATAGGGATATCAAATCATTCACCAATAGCTTCTTGCTCACCACAGCAGCCGGAGAAAGAACTAGAAATGATGTAATGCACATTGCTTTCGTGTTCATTCACTGGATGGGAAGATCAGCAAACAGACTTTCCCTGGTCTCCATCTGTTCCACCAGCTGACACCAACCATGCCTCTCCCAAATCTGCAGGTGGGGCAGCAGAGCCCCAGATACATGGGGGAAGGGGGGGGGGGGCACACTGTACCTTTGACAGGCTGTGGAAGTGATCGGGTGGCTTTACAACTGCTCAAATCAATTCCACCTGAAAGCCCATCACTGACTGTACAATTTAATTAGGGATGCGCTGATACTGAGTATTTTCATGAGTACTCGTATACGTGAAAATACTACTGATACCTTAACCGCTTGATTAGCATGCGATGTGAACTGGAATGTGATTCCTGTTCAAATCGCATGCAGTTTCCCCCCACTGTTTCTGTGTGAGCTAACCAATCAGATGCCGTCTAGCCCGAACTGTCATCGCTGCAAGTAGAGGAAAGAAAGCGGCAGGGATTTCAAATCCCCGCTTCTTTCTCTCCTCTCCTACCACTGACACTAAGCATGGGATGCCTGCAGGGAGGTTTCCCACACTGTTCCTGTGTGAACTCGGACTATGACAAGCCTGGGTTCACTCGGGAGAAATGGGGGAAACCGCATGCGATTTGGACAGGAATCTCATGCTATTTTTTGTGGTGCAATTTGCATCCATTAACGCAAATCGGACCACAAAGTATCAGTGCTCAGTATCGGCTAGTACGTGACCGAAAGTATCAATACTTGTACTCCCCAATAAAAAAAAACTGTATCGGTGCATCCCTAATTTTAAACATAGCTATAAAAGTTAGGAGTCTGTTTAAATTCCTGGTCTACAAGCTGCTGTTTATAAATGGCGCTGGTAGTTAAATGGTTAAAGTGTGGTCAATGCTTTTTTGGTCCCACTTCTTTTGTGGGTCCCAGGAGTACACTTAGTTCTACACTCCTGTGACTCAGATTTAGCCAACAACTAGCTCAAGTATGCTGTCAGCTGATGTCATATAGCCGGTCCAGGTTGTGCAGGTATTATGACATTAATGTCAGGATCCTCCCAGATACCTGAGCAGCAGCTGGCTCAGCCTCTCTGCATGCCTCTGAGAGTCCACAGTCCGGTGCAGTGAGCACTGGAGTGGCGGAGCACAGTCCGTCACCGCCCTGTGCTCAGAGCAGACCCGAGAACTGAGTGATCATGGTCTTTGATCTCTCAGGTCTCGATGTAGAGCTGCCAGGGGACAACTGCAACATTGGATCAATATCAATGCTGCAGCCATCTAGGTGAGTATTGCAGGCCATAAACGGGTCGTTTATCGGCCGAATTATCGTCCAAAAGGAAAATTGGCCGATATTCATGCTGTTAGTGGGGCAATGCCATCGGCCGTTTTTCGTGGATCTTCTTGTTTCTTTTTATCGGTCATGCTGGAAAATCCACAAAAACCGGCTGTTTTTCGTAGACGTTGGTGGTGGCGGCAACGGCAGCGACCGATTTTTCGTTTATTGGCCAACAATTTGGCCGATAAACGGCCTGTCTATGGCCAACCTAAGTCTGTTTTTGTTTTTTTTTTTCATTCCCACATTTTTCTTTAAAGGGCTTATTCACACCAGATGCATCAGGGTGCGTCTTAAAATAACATCCTAAATGCATGCACAGTAAATCAATGATTTCTAATAACCCTAGTTCTCATCATTGAGTTCAGTTCAAGTTCTTTCAAAAAGAGTATAGCAGTGTGTATTTTTTCGCACTGGAAAAAACATAAGCACAAAAGATCATGCACAAAGATGAGGAAAAAAGTTTGCATGCTAACTATAGATTTCTATAGTAAAGAAAAAAAAGTTATGTAAAATAATGCACTGCAAAGGCATTACAAACACATGTAAACATGCATCTGGAACCACAAACCTAATGCAGGGATTGTAGTAAAAATTAGCAATTTTTGCTCACCACACATTGCAATCTGACCATACAATCTCCTTTAGATCTACCAACAACTATTTAGTGCAAGAACCTGTCTGATTGGACAGATTAGGTAGGTTTTTATGTTACATAAATTTGGTAAAAAACGTTCGTATGGCCAGATTGCAACTTGTATTGTATGTACAGGCAAAACGTTTTTTGGTTTTACATTGAATAGTGAAGGGTCAGACTCTGCCAAGTTTGCGTTCCTGCTGAGGAGAGCCATTCATCTTTTTGTACCGATGACCCTTGTCACTGAGACAATGAATTAAGGGAACGCCTAAATAGAGAGCAATAAGTGAGAGGAAATCTTCTAATAGAGACAAATGTTTGGATGACCGCTGTCTTAGATAGGAATTCTCCATGCTTTTGGGAGATTTCTTCCCAATTCTTGTTGTATCTCCAAAACAGGAAGCTAGGGAAAATCTGCCTAGCAAAACAGCACAAATAACTTAATATGGGTTTAAAAGCTAAATTCTTGAAAAGGTATGCTCTGTCACTTCCCCTCCTCTGTGCCTCATCTAATCAGAGTACAAGACGCTGGACGCTGGATGTAAGTATGCAATACAGATCATTCCTGGAGTTCAGCCCTAATATGACCAAGCAAAATTAGAATCATATTCATTTATCAGACTGCTTTCCTTGCCAATAACATTTTGAACAGCACCTCAACATAGTAAATCAGTAGCAGGCAATGTATCCACCCTGCAGTGCACCACAACTCACATGACGTATTGTGGAGCACTGCTTTAAAAAAAATAAGTAATGTCTGAAAGTGAGGGAACGCTCTGATCTTAGGTAATGCTGTGTTTAGGATAGGAATAATATCTTGCTCAGAACTGCTTTTTGGAATAGGAGCTTCAGTCCCCACTTCTTTTGACCTCACCTATCCCTCTGGCGCTGCCATTTTTGTTATCCTTGCGCATGGGCAGATGTGCCAAAGGGCTCTGTCCAACCTTTTGGTACTGCAGAGCCCTGCGGCACACATGCAGGGACCCGAAGCCCCACAGCATACAGGTATATCTGTGCCTATGTAAAATCAGGGGGATGCAAACGTCAATTTTACCTAAGAATGAAAGATGGAAGTGCTATGTTGCAGTAAAAAACTGTGTTAAGTTCTAATAATAATAAAAATAACATTCACATGTGAGAAAGGAAGGGTGGGGGATTAATGTGTTACAAAACCCACAACAGTAAAATCAGTCTGTATATGCAGTAAAGCACGCTTGTTATGCTCACTGTGGAACCCAAGGGGTTAATCCTCTGCATTGTGTAAGAAGGCCATTTGATCCTGTCTTTGCTGATCTTCCCCTTCTTCTGCTGTCCCCAATCTATCTGCTGATAGTACAGAACTCTAGGAGTTACTGCACATGCTCAGTTTAGTGTGTATTACTAGAGAGTTTTTTTTCTTGGGAGGGTGCATGTGATCAGCACAGGACCAATCAGCACTGTCTACACAGAGGGTCAGGGGTTATGCAATCTCATAGAACAGTCAGAGCAGAATGAAAACTCCTCCTACAAGCTTTAAAAACCAGTGCTCTGCTGGACACCAATAAAAGTCACAAGACTGCTATATACTACTGATGAGAGGGTATTTAGTAGTTTATATTTACTACAATAATTGCATTGCCATGTTGTGTGTACTGTGGGAGATCAGATATAGTGAATGCAGGCTCCTGGGTCAAGTAACACTTTAATGTTGATTTAGGGTGAAGGTCGGCTTTAAGTGAAATATTTTCATACTTGAGCTAACTGTATAGAGGTAAGAATTGATTTTAATAACATTATAGATCTAGTCACATTGGTCAAAGCTAAACTAGAAATATCATCATTTGTTTCTTTATGTGTCCTGTTAGGCTGGACATGAGTGTATCAGGATTTCGGCTGTATATGAGGATGTCACAGATAGCGGCAAGAGTCCCATGCCTGACAAATCATAGATGGAGAGCCAGAAATGTACTATTATGTTGTAGATCTGTGAGCTCCTCTGCAGACCCTCCTCTCACCGCCGAGCGATATAGTGTGTCTCGTCTGCCATTTTCAGAGGTCTCAGCTGAGGATATCGGTCACTTCCAGAAGTTAATTCCTGGTCGGGTTATTACAGATGAAAGTGACCTGAGATCACATAACATTGACTGGCTGAAAACAGTGCGAGGTAATTATTCATTTTCCTGGATAACTTTGTATTCATGTGTAATAAAAATACTTACAAAGTGCTGCAAGGGATGATATTAATGTGTGTATCAATACCCACAAATCTAGAGCGACCATGCTGTTCACAATTCTAGCTAGTGCAAATAAAGCAGTAAATACATGAACATGTGTATACGTGTGAATATACATGTGATTACATGAATATGTGCCTTTTTAAAAGGACTTTCAATGGGTTCTCCATTGTATTATTTGTAATTTACAGGATTGAGGCTGATTTATAAACACTGGAATACTGTTTGGCCTTAGAAACCAGTCAACTTGCCATGACAGAATGATGCAATCTTTTCACCTTTACTCCAATTTTGAATCGGCCCCAATGTGATTTAGTTTAGGGGAAAATGTCATTTTCTTTTAAAGCCCAGTTGATGCCTCCTTTTTAACACTGTATTGTAGTCAGGTTGTATAAACAGTAATAGATTTGGGCATCTTTTTTATTTTTTAATGTACTATTGTGCTGCAGCTATGGTTAAATGCCTTATGCAGTTAGAATCTGGAAATGTGGAATAATGGGATTTTAAAGCTGAAGAAAAACTACTACCGTATTTTTCGCTCCATAAGACGCACCTGACCATAAGACGCACCTAGGTTTTAGAGGCAGAAAACAGGAGAAAAAAAATTCTGAACTAATGGACTGCAGACACAGTACAGGAGATGACCAGGGACTGCGGACAGCACAGGGATGACCAGGGACTGCGGACAGCACAGGGATGACCAGGGACTGCGGACAGCACAGGGATGACCAGGGACTGCGGACAGCACAGGGATGACCAGGACTGCGGACAGCACAGGGATGACCAGAGACTGCGGACAGCACAGGGGTGACCAGAGACTGCGGACAGCACACAGGGATGACCAGAGACTGCGGACAGCACAGGGGTGACCAGAGACTGCGGACAGCACAGGGGTGACCAGAGACTGCGGACAGCACAGGGGTGACCAGAGACTGCGGACAGCACAGGGGTGACCAGAGACTGCGGACAGCACAGGGGTGACCAGAGACTGCGGACAGCACAGGGGTGACCAGAGACTGCGGACAGCACAGGGATGACCAGAGACTGCGGACAGTACAGGGATGACCAGAGACTGGGACAGCACAGGGATGACCAGAGACTGCGGACAGCACAGGGATGACCAGAGACTGCGGACAGCACAGATGACTGCTGACCTTTGGGGAGGTGGGGAGCGGGTACCTGAATTTGACAGGTACCCGCTCTTACTTCCACAGAGTTTTTGTTTGATCTTATCTGTTCCTCGATCCAGCCGCACGCTGTCTTCCCGGCTTCTGTAATGGCGCTCGGCATGACAGCCGGGTGCCCAGTGCGCATGAGCGAGAAGCACTTGCGCTTTGTGATTGGTCCGGCGGCTTCTGGGATCTGTCATGTGTCCCAGGTACCGCCTAACCATTCCCCAAAAAACACCGCTTCTTGCGCATGCGCACTTGGCACCCGGCTGTCATGCCCAGTGCCCACACTACAGAAGCCGGGAAGACAGCGCGCCGCTGGATAGAGGAACAGGTAAGATCAAAGAACAAAGACGTAAGAGCGGTTACCTGTCAAATTCAGGTACCCGCTCCCCACCTCTCCAAAGGTCAGCAGTCATCTCCATAAGGTCCCGCTGCAGAGCTGAGCGGCCGGCCCGGTATTCTGACACGGCCGCGGTGGAAATACCGGACCGGCCGCTCCATATTCGCTCCATAAGACGCACTGACATTTTCCCCCCTTTTTTGGGGGGAAAAAAGTGCGTCTTATGGAGCGAAAAATACGGTAAATATAATATTTGTTAAAAAAATTAACATTTTTATTAAAAATCAATATTAAAATTGTACCTAAATGCAGTGGTACTGGAAAATCAAAACAGACTTGGCTGTTTGCTGCAGCTTTGCAGAATGTAGCTTCCCTACATGTTTCGCCCAACATGGGCTTTCTCATGGGAAGAGATGACTTAACCGCAGTACAGTCTACAATTATGTGAAAAGCATAAATCAATAATAATTACAACAAATATGAATCATTATTATACAAAATGCATCTTTAACTGTTCAGAGCAATATATGAATCCCCAGCTTACTGTCAAAATCATGCTTACAAAGCTATTGAGGCATACCAATGTAGATAATTAAACATCATTTTGGCCCAAGCGTCCGTGCAATTGCAGAGGATATAAGAGGGGTCAAATATCCACCTAAGTATAAATATGTATACATCAGCAACGATTCAACCGAAGGAAAAAGAAGGGACAAAAATAGCTATGAAATTCTGGCAACTGTATAAAATAACTTCCAATGAACAAAATAGATGGGATTTGGTTGTTAATATCACATTTGTCCACTAGATGTCAGTAGTAGCTGTCACAGATCCAAGCTATAAAGACCAAGCAAATGCTCAGCCACCTAAGTGGCAATACAATCGCCATAGACTCAGCAATACACTTAGCTAATTGAACAAATGTTTCACCAAATATATGTTCCAAATCACAGCTAAAGGTTCCCAAACAAAAACTTCTCTGCGGCCAAAAGGCCGTATCCTTATTACTTCCCTCTTTTATATCGTCCACCCGGCTGACGTGTGACGTAATTGGCCGGGTGCAGATGTCCGGTATATGACTGCGTATGCGCGAAGATCTCCGGCGTGCATGTGCAATCCGAAGCCGCCTATTACCATTACACAACCTCATAGAAAGCACTGGTGACATCTGCAACAGCACCACTGATGGTCAGAAAGATTGTTTCAGTGTGAGCACAGACCCAACATCACAGCCACCATCTAGTGGTGAAAGATTATTCTTCAAGAAAATCAATGCAGGTAGTATGCTGGAGATTTGGACCACTGCTCAAAACGCTTCTCGGGGGGGCTGTTGAGTGGGGTACTACATGTATATGTATTTTTCTATACTCGCTATTTTCTATACTCACTTCACTATGGTTTTTGGATTTCTTTCAGGTCGTAGCAAAGTTCTTCTAAAGCCTAAAAATACAGAAGAAATGTCACAAATTCTGAAGTAAGTCATTCTGCTTTGTGCCTTAAACATTTACTCCAATGATGTATTTGGCATGTAAATATGAACTATTGCATGCACTGTACATATTTCATATTTAATATGCAATTCCAGCTAGGCTCCTTATCATGTTTAATAGGCTAACTTTAACTGCTTTGCTATGAAAGAGCATGATGTTAAGAAAGCTGAAATTTTACACACATGCAAACGAGTTGGAGGACTAGTCTCTTTCTCCCTGCTCTTTTCCTAAGGGCCTTTATTAGTTAGATAGGAACAGTCAAAAAGGGTGCCGCAGGGTCAGTCTTTTTAGACATGAGGGCATCCTGTATTAAATAGTTATTGGCAAAATAAAGATTTAGTATAAAAAGTAAAAAAAAATATACACAGCACCAATTTAAAGGGTAAGTTCAAGCATAACTTCACTTTTAATGGAGGTTATATTTTCTAACCTTCTCTCCCTTCTCAGCTTCTTCTAAAGTCTTGTTCACACGGGGGTACTTAAGCATTCAACCATGTGAGGGTTGTGATTTGCCTGCACAGCATGGACAGGTGCTTCATTCAACCGCTTGCAGGAATTCCTGTCAATAGGGAAATAGTGGCTGCACAGACACAACCTCTGCCTCCAATTTGACAGCTTTCGGGGTGCGGGTCCCAGAAGGCAGACAGTATGCATTTGGAGGACCCACAACTCCCATGCACCCACACAGATGTCAAATTGGGCAAAGTGGCTGTGTCTGTGTAGCCCCTGCATCCCAGTTGACATGCATGGGACCTACCTGCACATGGATTCATGAAATATCTGTGCATCCCATGAAGGCAACACACAGCCCTCACACAGCTGCACACTTAAGTACACTAGTGTGAACAAGGCCTAATTCTCTTACCTTGTTATATCTTGTGCTTTCGCCTGCAGGTACTGTAATAGGAGGTACCTGGCTGTGACTCCACAAGGTGGAAACACAGGTTTAGTTGGTGGCAGTGTCCCTGTCTTTGATGAGATCCTGGTTTCAACAGCGTTGATGGACAAGGTGATTAGCTTTGATAATGTTTCAGGTAAGTGACTGGATTTCTCTGTTGTGTTAGTGCATGGACCTCCTTAAAAATCAAATCAGAGTGGTGGAAGTCTGTGTTGGTCAGAGCTCACATTTGCTGCCGTACTGTTCATTTTGTTTTATTAGGCAGACCCTAATACTGCATAGTTGTTGGTAAACCTAAGGGATATTGTATAGGTATGGTACTATCAGAGAGTAAAAGTGTGTGGTATCTTAGCTATTTTTGATTTGAAAAATATATTTTTTCGTTTGTGAGTACAACACCTACTTTATTTCTTATTAAACATTATTTATGGTAATGCACTAGGCCTGTGTGCCCCCTCTTTGTTCTTTTCTCATTCAGTATATTTGAATTCCCCCGGTCTATTTGAGGGCAGTAAGGTGTGCATGTTCCAGGACATTCTTATGTGGTTGTAGCCTACACCGAGTCCATCCCCAAGAGCAGGAGCATTTGTATTTGCTGGTATAAAATCAAGCACCTAGGCATGCAGACTGCTTCTACAAACATTTGTGAAAGAATGGGTCGCTCTTAGGAGCTCAGTGAATTCAAGCGTAGTACAGAGATGGGTTTCCACCTGTGCACTAAGTCCATTCGTGAAATTTCCTTGATACTAAATATTCCATGGTCAACTGTTAGAGGTATTATACTGGGAACAACAGCAACTCAGTCATGAAGTGGTAGGCCACGTAAAATGGCAGAGCGGGGTCAGTGCATGCTGAAGCGCACAGTGCGCAAAAGTCACAACTGTCTGCGGAGTCAATAGTTAAAGACCTCTAAACTTCATGTGGCCTTCAGATTAGCACAACAACAGTGCGTATAGAGCTTCATGGAATGGGTTTTCATGGCCGAGCAGCTGCATACAAGCCTTACATCACCAAGTGCAATGCAAAGCGTTGGATGCAGTCGTGTAAAGCACGCCGCCAGTGGACTCTATAGCAGTGGAGATGTGTTCTCTGGAGTAACGAATCACGCTTCTCTGACAATCCAATGGATGTGTCTGGGTTTGGCGGTTGCCAGGAGAACGGTACTTGCCTGACTGCATTGTGCCAAGTGTAAAGTTTTGTGGAGATGGGATTTTGGTGTGGGGTTGTTTTTCAGGGGTTGGGCTTGGCCCCTTAGTTCCAGTGAAGGGAAGTCTTTAGGTGTCAGCATACCAAGACATTTTGGACAATTTCATGCTCCCAACTTTCTGGGAACAGTTGGGGGGTGGCCCTTCCTGTTCCAACATGACTGCACACCATTGCATAAAGCAAGGTCCATAAAGACATTGATGAGTGAGTTTGGGGTGGAGGAACTTTACTGGCCTGCACAGAGTCCTGACCTCAACCCAATACAACACCTTTGGGATGAATTAGAGCGGAGACTGCGACCCAGACCTTCTCGTCTGACATCAGTGCCTGACCTCACAAATGTGCTTTTGGAAGAATGGTCAAACACTCCCATAGACACACTCCTAAACCTTGTGGACAGCCTTCCCAGAAGATTTGAAGCTGTTATAGCTGCAAAGGGTGGGCCAACTCAATATTGAACCCTATGGACGAAGATTGGGATGCCATTATAGTTCATGTGCGTGTAAAGGCAGGCGTCCCAATACTTTTGGCAATATAGTGTATGTATGTCCAACAAAAATTACAAATCATGTCACACTTGCATATACTTTAAGCTTCCTATAAATTATATATTTTAAACGTGGTTTCCACCTAAGGTGACTTGTGCTTATTTGAATTGTGACACATGACATATGATAAGGGAAATACATAGGCTGTCATTGCTGACCACTTTCTGAAAATGCTAGTTGTCTGACATTATTATTATTATAATACAGGATTTATATAGCGCCAACAGTTTGCTCAGCGCTTTACAATATAAATGGAGACAATACAGCAACAATACAGTTCAATACAAGACGGATAGGAGGGCCCTGCTCCTTGGAGCTTACAATCTAAGAGGGAGGGGCTAGTGGTACAAAAGGTAATAACTGTGGGGGATGGACTGGTAGGAAGAGTAGAAGATTCCATTATTAGCTGAGGGCAGGATAAGCTTCCCTGAAGAGATAGGTTTTCAGAGATCGCCTAAGAGTGAGCAGAGTACGCGATAGTCTGATAAGTTGGGGTAGAGATTTCCAGAGGATGGGGGAACCTCTGGATGCTTATACTTTGGCTTCAGTATTTTTTTTTATTTTTTGAATCACTAACCCAGAGAAAGCTAGCAGCCAGTAAGTTCAGAAGTCCTAATCTGCATACTTGTTTTGGGTCAATGTCTTTAAAAAACAGTAAAACCAGAGCATCAGAATGAGAACAATGCAACATTCCATTGTACATGTTTCTTTCAACAAGATTATGTTTAATTGTGCTTGTGTTCATTACAGGGGCCTTGGTTTGCCAGGCTGGCTGTATTTTGGAATCTCTGAACCAATATCTGGGAGAGCAGGGATATATCATGCCATTAGATCTTGGTGCAAAAGGAAGCTGTCACATCGGAGGCAACCTAGCTACAAATGCTGGAGGCCTAAGACTTCTCCGATATGGTTCTCTACGTGGGACAGTTCTAGGACTAGAAGCAGTGAGAGATTTTGTTTTGTTATCACATTCTGTGCTTATGTATAAAAACAGTTTCTGTACCATGTTGTATTTTTTCTTTATCAGGTACTTCCTGATGGGTCTGTTCTAAACTGCCTGAACTCTCTGCGCAAAGACAACACTGGCTATGATCTGAAGCAGCTGTTCATTGGTTCTGAAGGAACTCTTGGTATCATAACTGCAATTTCTATACTGTGTCCACGCAAACCCAGCACTGTCAATGTGGCATTTCTGGGTAAGGGGTATTCTGACATTTTTTTAAGAACATTAATTTAAAAAAAAAAAATAGAAGCAAGTATTTTTTTATGATGTAGTTTTAACATAATGAAAATTTTTGTTTAATTTCTGTTTTGCACAAATTGCTGAATTGTAGATAAAAATTCAATCAAGCTCACCTTGCGCTTAGGGAAAAAAACCTCAATAATACATAATGCTCCACTACATAAATAAGTGAATACTTACAGTTGTGGTAAATAATAGCAGTCAGACATCACTAACCTGATCAATCACTGTGTTTGGTAGAAATGATATTTCTACATGGCAAATCATTTACTAGCAGGTGTAGTAGAGTAATAGAAATCCAACAGACCCAACAGTCATGACATGCATGCTGCTGATTCTGTGTAATTGAATCACTAATTGAAAGGGGCATGTTCAAAATAATAGCAGTGTGGAGTTCTATTATTGAGGTCATTCATTCTTTGAAAAACAGTTGGCAATTATTGCCCTTATTTAAGGAAGGAAGGCAGCAATTGTTGTACATGCTGGTTACAGTGCATTTCTCTCTGAAATTCTGAGGAAAATGGGTCATTCCAGACATTGTTCAGAAGAACAGCGTACCTTGATTAAAAAGTTGATTGGAAAGGGGAAAACATAAATAAATACAGCAAATGATAGGCTGCTCAGCTAAAATGATCGCAAATGCTTTAAAATGGCAACCAAAACCTGAAAGACGTGGAAGAAAGCGAAAAACTACCATTCGAATGGAGAGAAGAATAGCCAAAATGGCAAGGACTCAGCCAACAATCAGCTCCAGGAAGATCAAAGAAGGTCTAAAGTTACCTGTGAGTACTGTTACAATTACAAGACGCCTATGTGAAGCCAAGTTATCTGCAAGAAGCCCCCGCAAAGTCCCACTGTTGAAAAAAAGACGTGCTGAAGAGGTTACAATTTGCCAAAGACCACATTGACTGGCCTAAAGAGAAATGGCGCAACATTTTGTGGACTGATGAAAGTAAGATTGTTCTTTTCGGGTCTAGTGGCCGGAGACAGTTTGTCAGATGACCCCCAAACACTGAATTCAAGCCACAGTACACTCTGAAGACAGTGAAGCATGGTTGCGCAAGCATCATGATATGGGGATGTTTCGCATGCTATGGTGTTGGGCCTATTTATCGCATACCAGGGATCATGGATCAGTTTAAATACATCAGAATACTTGAAAATGTCATGCTGCCTTATGCTGAAGAGGAATGCCCTTGAAATGGGTGTTCCAACAAGACAACGACCCCAAACACACCAGTAAACGTGCAACATCTTGGTTCCAGACCAACAAGATTGACATTATGGAGTGGCCAGCCCAATCCCCGGATCTTAATCCAATAGAAAACTTGTGGGTTGACATCAAAAATGCAGTTTCTGAGGCAAAACAAAGAAATGGAGAAGAACTGTGGAATGTAGTCCAATCATCCTGGGCTGGAATACCTGTTCACAGGTGCCAGAAGTTGGTTGCCTCCATGCAATACCGATGTACAGCAGTTCTCAGAAACAGTGCTTATACAACTAAATATTCATTAAGTGATTCAAAGGAAAGCAAAATCTTCAAACATTTTTCAGTTTATATAGTGAATGTTTGAGCTTGTAAAGACGAATACAAACTGCTATTTTTTTGAACAGTCTAATATTCACTTTTCTTCAATTTTTTTAGAGGAACAACACAAATTTGATCTATTTTTCTTCATGTTTTGATTTGGAATAGAATGTGTAGTGTTCCCAATGCATTTGTGTGTATGGAAATAAAAGCTATTAGAAGGATTTTGAGCTTTATTCACTTTTTTCAACACACTGCTATTATTTTGAACACAACTGTATATGCATAATTTTACTGCAGCTGCCCTCAGTAATAAATCATATACTAAAAAATGAAAGTTCAACCCTCTTCTCCAGATTTTGCAAGTAGTGCTGTGTGATACAAAATATTTATTGTCATACATGACAAAGGTGAAACCCAAAGTCCAAAACAAAGTGAAAATGCAAACAAAAGTCCCCTTTAAATAACTTCTGTGATCACTCCTCCTCATGATGAAATCAGAAGGGCGTGGCTACGCAGCAACTGGAGACAGCGTCAAATCCAGAAATGGAAGTGACAAACTGGAGCGTTGATGAGGTCTAGGTTGGGTGAGAAGAGGATAGTAGCACTCTGCCCTATACATTTGATCTCATGATTGAAGAGCATTTATTCTTCTTCCAGAGAGGAGTTTTTAGCACACTATACCATTGCAGGCTGTTCTTTACCTTTACATGTGTATTGAGCCGTTCACACAAACTAGGGTTTGAAGGTTCCAAGGTTACCAATGCCCCCATGGATTTGTGAATTCACACTAAGCGCTTTATGCCAATCATGTAAATGAGAGGCATTGAGATCCAGTGAGTGTCTGTCAAGAAGGAGAGTTCCCTTACAGTAACATGTGATGATCACAGAAGTTATTTAGGAGGACTTTTGTTTGCGTTTGCACTTTGTTTTGGAATTTGTCGGACTTTTTTGGTTTCACCTTTTTCATGTATGGTGACAATTTTTTTTTTTATCACACAGCACTGCTTGTAAAATTTGGAGAAGAGGATTGCCCTTTTTTTTTTCTTTTTTTTTTTGTTGGGTGTTGCTGAAATTTATCAGCAAAAACAAAAAAGTGACATGGCTGCACCAGTAAACATTTAAAGGCTAACACTATCTAAAACTGATTTTTAATATTTGCTCAGTATCAGTTGTACAAATCATTTGCTGGTTATTGCACAGTGGTAAGATCTCTTTGTCAGAAGTACTTGGCTTTACATCCCCAACACACCTATTCTCCATAATATAAAATAAATTGAGAACAAAGAATGTTGGCCCTTGGTGACAAATGTGGAAAGTGGAAAGAGCTGGGAACACAAGTGCAGAGATCTTGTTAATGCAGTCCACACAAGATATGTGAGGCCAGTGGTCTGTTCCACCAATGATATCAGCAGATACACAGACTATATCAGATTTTGAAGGATCTCTCCTAGATCCAGCTTCTAGGATTCTCCTATCCACACAAACGAGGTGGATGGGGGAATCCTCTCTGCCATGCCATTTGTATTTAGACAGCAGGGACTCCTCCACTGTCAGAATACGCTGCTCAGTGGCTTATCAACAGACTTTTTCCAACATTCCTATTCAACAGAAATTGATCATTAGATCGACTTTTGTCCAGTGGGAACAGCCATAGATGGATCATAAGTTGGCTGGTCCCTGCTAAACTGGTTGAGTTTTGATCCATCTATGGCCAGCTTTAGCTTTAAAGGAGCTTTTCATCATTTGAAGTTGCAATTTATCATGACCTGACTTTTCTGAGTACATTTAATCTTTATAATAATATGAAATGATCAGTTTTAGGATTTTCTTCACATGTTGCAGGATGTGAGAATTTCAGCAGAGTGCTGCAGATCTTCACCATGTGCAGAGATGAACTTGGAGAAATCCTGTCTGCATGTGAATTTCTAGACTCTGAATGCATGAAGTTGGTGGAAACTCATCTGAACCTCACTAACCCTCTGCCAGGTAATTGTTTACACTAATTTATATACTGATTGCAAGTCATTGCTGGGTTGATAATTACTCTGACAATATTCTGCAATTATAGAGAATGCCTTCTATGTTTTGGTGGAAACATCTGGATCTTGTGCAAAGCATGATGAAGAGAAACTTAACGCATTTTTGGAGAAGGCTCTGGATTCGGAGTGCGTGACTTCTGGCACAGTGGCAACAGACCACAGTAAAATAGCGGTATGTCCCTTAACCATCTGTGCATATCTTTGTTTAAGAACTCCAGCTAAAAATAAATAGCTCAGTTGCAAAACTCACATTCAACCTGGAACTGTCTCTGTAGAACGTGGGGGGGTGGGGAGGAGCGTGTTTAATTGGTTTCCACTTTCAATATTTGCATTTTAAAAGAAATTCATACAATTACATGCAAACATGATAGAAAAAAACTCTCTTCTTTTATTTATTTTCGAAGTAAGCATCTATAACAGTATGCAAAATTACAGATTCTGATATTATTAAACAGATTTTATACATTCTGCTGGCTGCTGTTGAAATCTTCACTGCAGTACTGCCCTGCCCTCTTCTTGCTGATGGACTTTTGGTGCCGTGGGGATGAACAGCTTTGGGTCTCCGGGCTCAGTTGCACTAAAGATGATCCGAGGGGGACATGCCCCCTCCTGACCTCTGACCTATCATTCATTGAGTTCTCTCACTGATCACACTGCCTGTAATACAATCTGTTAATGGGGGAGAGCCTGATTAGTCACAGAATTCTCTCCCCCATTCACAGATCTTGTTACTAGTAGTAGTTAGTGAAAGAACTTTTCTCAGTAGAGAAGAGGGAAAGAGGGGACATATCCCTGTCAGATCATTTTTAGTGCAGCTAAGCCTGGAAACCCAAAGCTGTTAACCACCACAGCACCAAAGATTCAACATGAGGAAGTGTTTGGAGGTTAGAAGGGTCAAAAATGAAAAAGACAGTTATGTAGGAATGAAAAATCTTTTGGAGAGACGGGATCTGGTAATTAGACCCTCTGATAAGGGGGGGGAATTATCCTTATGAACAAAGATAAATATATAGGAGAGATGTATAATATCTTGGATGATATGGAGACATATATACCTCTGAATTGAATAAAGACCCTACTGTAGAGTTAAAAAAAATGTAACAAAATTAGTTAACGAGGGCCATAAACAAGGTATTTTAAATAAAAAAGAAAAAGCTTTTCTCATTCCAGCAGCCCCTCGGCTTCCCATTATCTGTTTTCTCCCAAAAGTCCATAAGGACCCCATTAACCCTTCAGGTATACCTAAAATCAATTGAATAGGCTCTCTAACATCAAGAATAGGAGAATATATAGATTCTTTTTTACTTACCGTATTTTCCGGCGTATAAGACGACTGTTCAACACAAGAAAAACTTCTGAAAAGTGGGGGGTCGTCTTATACGCCGGTATACGGCGAGCCGGTGTCAGGGCGGCACTTTTTCGAGGGGTGGCGCGGCGCCGCCCCCTCTCCTCCTTCAACGGACACTAAGTACAGGGGTGGGCAGAGGGGCTGCTGTACCTTACCTGGCTCCGGTCCCGGTCCCACGACGATCTGGTCCAGGAAGCGCAGCTGCTCCTCCTTTCAGTTCAGCCGCTCAATGGTCGCCTCCTCACCGGTGATTGGGCGCCAGCACTGGAAAGGCACACAGGCGACCAATCACCGGCCAGGAGGCGGAGCCGAGCGGCCCTGCGAAAATCTGAAAGATGGAGCAGCCGCTGCTCTCCCCCACTGACACTAACGATGGGGCACTATTCCTCCTCCACACTGACACCAACGATGAGGCACTGTTCCTCCCCCACTGACACCAACGATGAGGCACTGTTCCTCCCCCACTGACACCAACGATGGGGCACTATTCCTCCTCCCCACTGACACCAACGATGGGGCACTATGCCTCCTCCCCACTGACACCAATGATGGGGCACTATTCCTCCTCCCCACTGACACCAACGATGGGGCACTATTCCTCCTCCCCACTGACACCAACGCTAGGGCACTATTCCTTCCACTGATACCAATGATGGGGCACTATTCCTCCCACTGATACCAATGATGGGGCACTATTCCTCCCACTGATACCAATGATGGGGCGCAATTCCTGCCACTGATACCAATGATGGGGTGCTATTCCTCCCACTGACACCAATGATGGGGCACTATTCCTCCCACTGACACCAATGATGGGGTGCTATTCCTCCCACTGACACCAATGATGGGGTGCTATTCCTCCCACTGATACCAATGATGGGGTGCTATTCCTCCCACTGACACCAATGATGGGGCACTATTCCTCCCACTGACACCAATGATGGGACACTATTCCTCCCACTGACACCAATGATGGGGTGCTATTCCTCCCACTGACACCAATGATGGGGTGCTATTCCTCCCACTGACACCAATGATGGGGTGCTATTCCTCCCACTGATACCAATGATGGAGCACTATTCCTCCCACTGACACTAATGATGGGGCACCATCATTGGTGTCAGTGGGAGGAATAGTGCCCCATCATTAGTCAGTGGGAGGAATAGTGCCCCATCATTGGTGTCAGTGGATGAAATAGTGCCCCATCATTGGTGTCAGTGGGAGGAGTAGTTCCTCATCATTGGTATCAGTGGGAGGAATTGTGCCCCATCATTGGTGTCAGTGGGAGGAATAGTGTCCCATCATTGGAATACCATACTGAAATAGCATACCATATTGAAATCAAATCTGATGTTTTTTTATTTGGTGTGCGTTGGAAGAGGGGTAGTCTTATACGGCGAGTATAGCTCAAACCCTATATTTTAACAGGAAAAGTAGGGGGTCGTCTTATACGCCCAGTCGTCTTATACGCCGGAAAATACGGTAGTTCTAGTTACACAGACTCCAGCTTATTTAACCACTTGCCATCCAGAGGATGACGTGTGTTTTTGAGTGCACTTGTTATGCAGTTTGCATGATGCACGATTTTATGCCACATTATTAATTTATATAAGAGGTAATACACTATTTTAAGTTTATATCTTTTGAGGTACACGAAGATTCTGGAATATTTCGTTTTGGATCATCCTAAAAGACACTTTTTGGTTGGAGGTGGAAAGATATTATTATTATTTAGAGACATTCTGTTGGGACATTATTTTGGACATTTAATTTATGTTTGGACATTTTATTTTGCGATTTATTTATCTATTGGGGTATTTATATTATTGGGATAGTTTAATCACTAAGTAACGTTCAGTAATATTTATGTAAACTTTCAAGGGTGAAAGTTTTTGTCTTTTCTTTTGGGTGTACTTTTATAGATAGAGGTGGTATTGTGCTGAATTTATATGATAATATTTTTAGGAGAGCCCCTAATTTGAGGGATAAACTGGCCCCAAATGTAATTGACCATCCAAAACCCTCACCCTCTTTTTTCATGCATCCTAAAGTATTTTACCCTTGTAATAGCTGTATGAATTGTACGGTTAATAATACTAGGAAGAAAAAAGTAGTGACATTTGCGTCAACGGTTATTGGTAAACAATACTCCATTGATAAATGTATGACATGTGAATCTAAATATATAGTGTATCTATTGGAGTGTCCATGTCAGAAACAATATTGGCAGGACTACTAGAAGGCTGAGAGATCGCCTTAGGGAACATATTTACAATATTAAAAAAGGGTTTAAAAAAGATAGTTTGTCAGCACATTTTCGGCAACATCACAATACAGACCCTAGGGGCCTCAAATTTACGGCAATTACTAAACTACAGCCGCACTGGAGAGGATGCCACCGTAGAAGAGAAATTTCTAAACTGGAAATTAAATGGCTGTATGAATTAAAATCTTATGCCCCATTAGGTTTAAATGAACCAGCTAATGTTTATATAAAATCATTTTTTTTTTTTAAATATATTTTTTTCTGTTTATATTATATATATTTTGTTTAGTTTGAGATTTCCCTCCACCAGAAAAAAACTTTATCAGTATGTATTTATTATTGTGATCTTAGTTCTGTCAAGATATGCAGCCCATCTAAGTATTTGATTTATCCTTTTTATGTTTTCTTGATTAAAAGAATGGGTCCGGTTTTTGTGATCTGTTAGATCCTGTGAGTTGATTTTCAACATGATGGCAGCCGTGTCTTGGTCTTTCAAGACTAAGAAAATGGTGCCAATACCGGATGTGATGTAATGACACTTCCTTTAGACTACAGGAAAATGGCTCAGAGACAGGAAGTGACATCTGTCTGTATAGATGGGCTACATATTGATGGCCTCTGTTATTTGTTAGTTTATGAACCCCTGAGGACACCATGGCGTTGGGTTGTTAGGCGTTATTGCTGTAGGTCGTACCGCCATTACAAGTGTCTGGCAGCCCCTTATGTAAGTGAATACGCAGCGGTTTCTTTGTTTTTAATTGGCTATTTTTATCTGTGTATATATGCACTTTATTAAAACTACTACACTATGAAAGATTTGTTGGTGGTTTTTGGAGGATGAACGTGCATGTTCTGACATCTGGTGGAGCAGGATATGAGGAGGACTATTGAGTTTCCTGATACACTGAGGGATCGTACCTTGGGAATTTATTATCATACAAGCGCTATTGCTGTTTTTCTAAACGGCAACATCTGGTGAGTTTTCATTCTAGCCATTGGTGGAGGTGACACGTCTTATTCTTGGATCACTGGGTGAAGATTTATTATACAGTGGACATTGGGACTATTCTTTTCAGTTTATCACAGTTCACTTTCATTGATTTGAACAACATTGGACTTATGTATATTATTTTTTGTTTTATCTGAATTTTATTTTTTTTGCACTTGATGGTATTTATCTAGTGATATTATTCAATATTTCTGTGTTTAGCCCTGCAACTTCTATTTTTAGGACAGGGCAACCCTGCAATAAAAATTTCTACAAGTGGAGACTGACATCTGCCTGCCTCTCCACCTCAGCCCATCAGCTAAAGATTTGTACTCAGTACAAGGCTTCCTTTGAGTGGTGGAGAGGCTGTCAACGTGACCCAATTTTGTTCCAGCAGCAGACAGGAAGTCTCCCAAAATGCTGCTGGAACACTGCACGCTGTATGTAGCTGTATGATACAGTGCTGACAAAAGCCGCATCACTTTGTAAATGGCCCAAAACAAACTATTTAAAGTGACAGGAAACCAGGACTCAGGCTTTAAATTTTAAAAAGTAAAACAATCCGAGCCAACAAAAAACAAAATACTCAACTTACATTTGGCTTCTGGTCCTTTCACAAGATGACATTACTCAACTTTCTTGAGGGATCCTGCAAGGCTTGCAGCTTCATGAAAGATCTGCTTTAATTTCCATAAAAAGGCCTATGAAAATAAACTGATATTCATAAAATTTTCAACTGATGGCCTCCATTCTGAAAAATAAATAACGTTTTCTCAAAATCATAGAGATAATTCATCTGGTCCTGAATAGTTAATATTATACAATCTTTATTGCAAATATTTATATATGCTTTTAGTGCAAATTGTGTTTTCTACTAAGCACATCTTTTTATCTAATTTTCCATTTGTATTTTCCCACTCAGTCCCTCTGGGCTCTTCGGGAGCGTATCACAGAGGCTCTAGCACATGATGGCTACGTCTACAAATATGACTTGTCCATGCCTGTAGAGAAACTCTATACCCTGGTTGAAGAAACAAAGGCTCGTTTGGGATCCTCTGCTCAATCTGTGGTTGGTTATGGCCATTTAGGTAAGAGGATACTGGAGGCTGTTTTTTATTATTAAAATAATCTTTCCTTAGACAATGGAATGCTGGTTACTTTGGATATTATATTCCAGAATGGATCTGGATATTATATTCTAGAATAGATCTGTGGAGGCAGTGGAGTAATATCCATAAATAATGCAGGATATTTTATCTGTTCCAGAAAGTGTTGAACCAAATAAAAAAGATGTGTACAAAGCTCTGTGATGATATTGGTAGTTTTACCAATTTAAGGCCAACTCCAGGCAAAAGACAACCCCCTCTCATCCCTCCCTCCCACTACCCTCTAGCTCAGGGGTGTCAAACTGGCGGCCCTCCAGCTGTTTTGCAAAACTACAAGTCACATCATGCCTCTAGCTTTGGAAGTCATGCTTGTAACTGTAAATCTTGCAATGCCTCGTGGGACTTGTAGTTTGGCAACAGCTTGAGGGCTGCCAGTTTGACACCTGTGCCTTAAAGCATAAGTTCACCTTTTTACTATAAATAATAAATGCACATTTTGTTGCAGGTAATTGCATTATTTTTGGTTGCAGGAGCCTGGAAACCATTGCTCCAGTGCTCAGATTGCTGGTGCCATGCAGGTCTCCTGCAGACCTCTCAGTATATCTGCTTGCCCATACGGGATGTACGAGCAAGCAGATGCACTGACAGGAAAATTCAGTGAACTATCATGTCGCTCCACAACACTGTGGTAGTTCATTGTGAACTACAAGTCGCGCGAGCCGTTAAGGCTCTGCGCGGCTCATTTTTTTAAATTTGACAGCTAGCGGGGGAGGGGGAGAAGATTCCCTGGGTAGCTGTCATATCTTTTAGTGGAGATTTCCCTTCACTTTCTGTTCCATAGCCAAACATGAAGCGAGAGGAAATCTTTCCAAAGTCAGGAACCAGAACTAATGTCCCCATTAGAATATTTCCCCTCCATTACTGTTCTGATGTCAACCTAAAATTTGGGACTCTTTTACGTTCATTTTCAATGATAATGGTACACAGGACAACTAGACAGGGTGAATTTCCCTAACGGGGACACAGACAGCAGCAACAACTGACAGGTTTTCTATTCCCTTTCCACTATATCCAAAACTAAAAAAAAAAAAAAAAAAGGGTTTTCTTCAGTTACACTTTAATCAATGACCAACCCAGTATACAATACTCATGTCATTGACAGAAACATTGTTTATAAAGAAAAACTCAAAAATCCGATACTGCAAATCTTTCCCATACCTTTGCCTATTTACATATAAAGAAGAAAATCTCAAAGCAGGATAATATGTAAAATACGTAGATAATTTTCCAACAATCTTTTTAATTTGTATTCTTTGTTGCTTTTAATGTTTAGGCGATGGGAATTTACATTTAAACATCACAGCAAAGGCACACAGTGATACCTTACTGGCTGCGTTGGAGCCTTTTGTGTATGAATGGACCTCTCACCACAATGGCAGTATCAGCGCGGAGCATGGTTTGGGATTTAAGAAGAGGGACCACATTTTTTACAGCAAATCTAGAGAAGCAGTGCAGATAATGCAGAAAATCAAACACATGCTGGATCCAAAAGGCATCATGAACCCTTACAAGACTATTCCTACAACTGACAGATGACAAGTGTCCTTTGTTTCTATACAACTGCTATATATGTGATTCATTTAAACTTGTTAGAGGATCTGGTGCAATGGGCAATGTTTCCCTAGATCCGGAAGTGGTCTCATCTGATTTTAACAGAGAAACAAATGGCTGTGAACCGATGGGTGAATGCAGTATGTGTGTTTCTGTAGAAAATGATTGGCACCTAGAGGCACAGGTAGTTTTCAACATGTAAACTCCTACAAGTTCTGATTATCAGAAACTCAGTTGAAGTGCTTCTCAAATTGTTTGATATTTCACAAGAGTGTAAAGCCAGCCTAATCCTAACTGCTAAAGAACAACAATCTACTAGACATATAATGAAAATGTAATTATGTTAGTATTTTGTGTAAAATAAATTTTAGTATTTTTTACATTTTTGCTCTGTGTATTGCATAAAATGTGTACAGCCACAGAGCTGTAGAAGGTTTTCTCCACTCACAATTAAAGAAATAAGCTTTGGTTAGAGAATATTGAAGTGGATTAGCAGTTAAAATAATTTTCTGCTGCTCCACCTTTCATGTTGGTTAAAAGATCCTGGAGGCCTCGGGTAACTCCTTCATAACTGGAGTTCATTGAAGCTTAGATGCTTAGGCCAAATTTGGCAGCACTAGTTAACTTTACCTCCATAACTAATTTGTCACGGACAGTGGGGTGTAAGAACTTGGAGCACACAAAGTTGCGCATGCCTGGTTCTCTACTGCAATGTTTATTGACAGCAATGGGCATGGAGCCTGAGTGCTAGTTTACACTGGTATGATTGCTGACTTGAGTTGCACAGAATCATATGACAAGGGAAAACACAGTGATTCAGCACGATGTGACTTTGGAAAAGGTTACCATTCAACTTTCATGCCATTTACAGTGCAATTTGGCCCATAGAATATGCAAAATAGCATCAAAGTTGCGCTACATAATTGCACTGAAAATTGCATCGCAACAGTGTGAACCGAGCCCAAAGAATAAATAGGCATAATGCAGTCACAAAGTGGTTTTAAAGCATGCTGTACTTAACACATCTCCAAACAATTTAGACTAAGCATATAATGAATAAATACATACTGTGTACAGAGGTTACCTTCAGTAAAAACTGCAAGACAAAAAATAAAGTGACTTACAGTCATGGGCCAATTGATTTTATGACTTTTCCTGCAACAATTAAAAAATTAATTTCACCTTCTTTCAAACCTTTCTATTGGTTATGGAAGACCAGAATGTAAATTATACTAGAACTGTCATTAACATAAGTGAAACTGCTTCTAGTTCTTTAAATTGGCTATAAACACTTAGATATACCCAGTGAAGTGACTGACCTCAAGTGATACACAGAGATGAAATATATCATCCTACATAAATTGTACCTATCTGCAGTCTTCTCTTCTCTATGTCTATTCAAAGTGCTGAATTATTAAAGTAGAAGTTCATCCAAAACCTAACTAATTCTAAACCTACTTGCAGCCACATTCTAAAACGAATCTATCTAGCCTGTAAAGAGGAAATCACTATACATACCTGTTCTGCAGCTGCTCCGGTCCAGTCCCATGCTGAGCTGTCAACGGCGGCTTCAGTGTGTAGGCATGCGCAGGAGAGGAAGCTGATAACGGAAGGTCTATGGCAATGGGTGACGTCACTTTCCAGGCATTTTACAGCTGTTGTAGGTTTTTTGTTTCATTGCACACAGCATCCACTGCTGGAGACTGGACTGGATCGACTTAAAAAAAGGTATGTATAGCGATTTCTTCGTTACAAGGCTAGATAGGTTAGTTTTAGAATGTGGCTGCAAGTAGGTTTAGAGCCAGTCAGGTTTTGGTGAACTTCTACTTTAAAGTTGTCTGAAAAAAGGGGGCAGAGAGCTAAAATTACACTCTGCAGAGCTCAGTGAGAGCTGATTGGAGGGAAGGGAAGGGACACCCCCCCCCCCCTCACACAGCCCACAGGAACAGAGCTACAACTGTCAATCTGCTGGAGGTCCCTCCCTTGTCACCATCTTTCTCTTGGTGTCAGGAAAACTTATCAGAAGTAATTCATGCTGATAGCAGAGGAGCGAGGCAGCAGACAGAAATGACGCTTAGGCCTTGTTCACACCATACGTGCAGAAAAACTGATGAAAATTGGCGTGCAGATTTCACTTGCAGAGACATCAGTTTACATGAATTTTCATGCGTGCTTCAATGGGTTTTATACACATTGCAGATTCCTGTGCAGAAAATCTGCACGTGATACTAGTGTTGTGGTGTGAACAGGGCACATAGAGAACAATTGATTTCATTGTGCCCTTACAGAACACGTACAGAAAAACTGATGTCTCTGCACCATGGTGTGAACGAGCCCTTAGTGCTCCTAACTGAGACAAGTACACACTATAGAGGATATGCTTTGTTCATAATTCATGTCTGAGGTTTACAACCACTTTAACGTACAACTGTCAGTAACACAAGAATTGTAAATGGAAGGCAAGAATATAAAGTACAACTGTCAGTAACATAACGGATCTAATCGGAATGTAGGTCTATAAAGTGGAACAATCATTAACATTAGAATTGAAAACAGAGTGCAGAAATATAAACTATACATGTAAGTAACATAAGCCTTCTAAATGGAGTGCAGGAATTTAAAGATCAATAGCATATGAAATCTGAAATGAATGCAGAAATACAGTATATAGCATACCTGTCAGTATTAGAGTGTTAAATCGAATGCAGGTGTATAAAATGCAGCTGGAAGTAACATTAGCAATCTGAACAGAATGCAAAAATAGAAACTATAAGGGGCTGGTTTACTAAAGGCAAATATACTGTGCACTGCAAGTTCAGTTGCTCCAGTGCTTAGTAAATGAGATAAAGCTTCACTTTGCAAAGAATACCCAATAAAATGCAAGGAAAATTTAAAAAAAAAGCATTTTTGCTTGCACATGATTGGATGATAGAAATCAGCAGTGCTTCCCCTCAGATCTAGAGCGACTGCACTTACAGTGCACAGTATATTTGCCTTTAGTAAATCAACCCCTAAATATTATGAAAATAAGTCATAAACAGAATGCATGACTATAAAGTACTGCTAACAGTAACATAATAGTTCTAAACAGAATGCAGGAATATAAAGTACAACTGTCAGTAACACAGTAATTGTAAACAAAAGGCAAGAATATAAACTATAAAGCCTAGTACACACACAGAAAAAAATCAGACGTAAAATACAGCTTTTGGAGTGATCATCGGATAATCTGATTGTTAGTACACAGCTTTTGAGAGCCAACCATGACAGTTCATGCAAAACTACCTGAAGGGAAAAGCACGAAAATTCTTCTTGAACAATTTCCGTTTAATCAGTCTAGTATTCGTCCATGGAAAATCGAGTGACCAAGACTGCACATGCTCGTAAACTAAAGAATACATTACATTACAATGCAATACATTACATCATTATTAGATATGTGTATCACCTAACCCCAAAATCCCCTCAAAAAGTCACGCCTTCTCCCCAGAAAGCAACACAATATTACAACCTTTTTGAAATTATATAAACAAATTCAAACAGATGAATATAATCATAAATTACAAAAATTGGAAAAAATCATAAAATTCAAAAATACAAAAATAAAAAGTAATTAAAAAAAAAGTCCAGCATAAAGTGTCCCAAAATGTCCCAATGTAAACACAAATAGTGTCAAACAGAAATGGTGTCCCAAAATTGTCCAAATCTCCAAATTTTATCCAGTCAGAAGAAATTCCCTTTCATCCCGCAATACCTCGAAAAAAACAAATTCAGAAATCTAGTGCATTACCTTTATAAATAATATATATATATATATATTCTCTTCGTGCAAAAATAAAACACAAAAACACAAAAAAGTGTGCAAACACTATATATGTGTATTTTTCCGTGCACATGTGAATGAACTGTGACCACTCAGTGAACACTGCAACAGTGTGTATCCACCAGCACCAATAGTATTGGACACTATTACCCTCTGTATCCTTATACCAACATCCACATGAGATCTTCTGAATGCTCCAATGAAATTATTCCAAGGTCCTCAAAAAGACAAGAAGGGTTTCAAGGCTCATATTCAAAGTGTAAAACAAGATTTAATGAGAACTTACATTAAAATTTTCTTAATTCGGCTTCCAACATGCTTCCTGTGTGAGTCCTATCAAACAGATGCAAAATGCCATATGTTGATAACCCACAAAATGGCCGCGGCGACACTTCCGGTCTGCGTGCGTGCGTCACTACGTCACACCCTTAACGCGTTTCGTCACTTCCGGACTTCGTCTGAAGGGATACGGACGTCCCACACCACTCTCCTTATATATTGATGTCTCTCAATGGTATGAGGCCGTCGCCGCCATTTTGAAATAGGGAAACCAGGCCATCACTATTCCTCTCTCACTCTAATGAATATCCACCGCCCAAAAACATCGGTCTGGGCAAATACTATTATCAGAAGAGTACCAGAGGAATATAGATTCATAAAAATACAATAAACAAATGAACCTCAATATTATCTAATCTAATTGACAGCCCAGAATACAATAAAATACATCAAATATTAACACTTTCATTAAACACATGTTCCCTAATCTTCCACCCCACTTTAAAAACATATTAATAAATCCTATCATTTTTAATTTATAACCCTTCCAACATATATATATATATATATACACATAACGCTACCTCATTATTAAGCCTCTTACTCCCTCCAGTGGTCAAACATATATATTACATCCCATTATACTTAATTCCTCATGCTTTTCAAACTAAATACTTTGCTCCCTCCAGTGGTCATTCACAAGGCCAAGTACAAATAATTCATATATCAATATATATTTTTACATATTTACAATTATATTCATAATTTCATAAATCTATTTTTACTTTTTACATTCGGAAAAACTTTTTATATATCTCAACTCCACCTATATATTTTTCAATACTATAACACTATACTAAAAACATAAATTCTAATAAGCTCC